GGTTGCCTGCTGTACATCCCTGACCTGGGATCAAACCTGCAACCTAGGCATATGCCCTGACAATCAAACCCACGGCCCAACCAGTGCAATAAATATTATTATTGGCTATTATTCATTGCCAGGTCAGAGGGTAACCCCTAGCCTTCCTGGAGCTAAGAGAGACTCCTCCAGGTATTAATAATAATTTAGAAACCATTTATTGAGTGACTTCTTTGTGCCAGCCACTATTCTAGATGTAGCTCCATCAGTCTCTCATGGGATACCCACCAAAAAAAGTATGATTTAGGTATTATTTCCCCCACTATAAAGACATAAACTGAGTGTCACAAAACTAATTATTTTCCCAAGATCACTGGAGCAGTAAATGGCAATGCTGGAATCTGAGAGCAAGTTCTCTGGCCCCAAAGTCCAGGTTCTTGTCTTAGCATTGCACCACAGAATCTGAGGTTTAGGGTAAAGCGATTACCTGTACAAGCATGCTCTGAGTAGGGTGAGGCAGAGAATTATCAGTACATTCATTTTTAGGGAGATAGGTGGAGCAACTGAAGTGCCATTAGCTGCTTGTATCAAGGGTTTACTAAGTGACAGGCACTGTGCTCAGCACTTTCATGCTATGGGTTTTTAATCCTTTTGCTTGTTGATCCATTTATTTATTTATTTATTTACTCTGTTTCATTTTAAGAATTAGAACATTATTACAACAAACTTATGTGGTTGGTACTAATATTCCAACTTATAAATAAGGAAACTGAGCCACAGAGAGGAAAGTGGGGCCCCCTAGGTGCCCTAGTGGCAGAGTCAGCCCTGAACCTGAGTCTGACTCCAGAGTAGTCCATACCCATCATCATCTTTGAGCATGATTAGTAAAGTCCATACCCACCATCATCTTTGAGCATGATTAGTAAATTGCCTAACTTCCCATTTGTAGCTGGAAGTGGCTAGGTCAACCAAGGACCTGGGGCAGGAGATAAATGAGGTGTGCCTTCTTGATGAGGCCATCTGTGTGCCCTTCTGAATGACACCAAGACCTGTGGGTCCTTTATGAAGTCCAGTGTGATGGTCTCCCGAGATCCTGCTGTCAGTGGCCTTTTGAGTCAACAAGATCTGCAGCAGATTTACCAGAGATTCTCCCCCATCCATGAAGAGTGAAGTCTGTTTCTCTACCATCTGAGCTTGGCCAACAGACTACTTTATCCAATGGGACATCGTCAAAGACGATGTATAGGCTAAAAAAGCACTTATGCATTGGGACATGCTTTTTTGCTCTTCTTGGAACACTGAAACTACAATGTGAACAAACCAGAGCTGATGAAGGCCACATGGAAGAGAAGCAAGGCTTCCAGGCCAACCACTTGCTCACTGCCAGTTATGTGAGTAGGGCCATCGTAGATCATCCAGCCACAGGTATCCACAGACACAGGTGAGAACTCTTTAAATTTTGTGCCCAGGGCAAGTACCTCATTGGATTCACCCTAGTCCCAGCCCTCAGAGACAATTCCTCTTTCTTGTTCTGAGAAGCTCTCTCAAGAGGTTGTGTATATGGTCAGCATTGTAAGTGACGGTAACTATAATGTCCATACATAATACTTGAAATGGTCCACGAAAGTAGAGTTGAGTTCCCAACCAAGGAAAAGACCAAGAAGCAGGAGGATACCTGCAGGTGACCAGAAGTACCAGCCAGGAACTCTGCCATTGGAGGTCTTCCCATGACGGTGGGTGCCCATATGTCTACTGGGTCAGTAGTTCAGTTCACTGGGACAGTTCCCAGTTCATGGACTAACAATCTGTAGAAGACGGAGTTCTAATATCCAGCGCATTCCCTAGTTCATAATGGGCATGGACTAGCAGAGGGTGGAGGATAGAACCCAGCACGTTCCTTTTTCACAGATGGAGACTGTGCTTTACTGCTCCATGAGCCTGCCCACAGCTCCTCCAAGGTCACCCAGGAGGAGGGCACTCTCCAAACCTTCATGAGCCTCAGAGGCAGCCAAAAAAGGGCCCAGCCATGTTGGGGAGCAGGTGTGGACAAGTCTTTAATCATGCCTCCAACGATGGGCAGATGAACTGTGAAGCTAATTCAGTTGTCTGGACTAATTCATCATCCTTGGTGCCAAGAAACCTTCTGGAACTGAGTCCAGAGACAAGATCATCCCAGGTACGCTGCCAAATCCCATACATGCTGGCTGCAGGGGGTGCATCCTTGCTCTCCCCATGCCCAAGGCAAAGGACAGCCGCACAGCTCCATTCATAGAGTAAGGGGTCTCCTACCGTTTATGGAGCCTACAACTGCTGGGAAGGCCTGCCAGGTGGCAGGAAGAGAACCTGCTCATTCTTCAGACTTACTCCACAGACATATGTCCTTCACTTCCTGTCCAATATGTAGTCACTGTTATTCATTATCATTATCACCATCTTCACATAAATAGCTCTCACCAGGTACCAGACACTGTACTTGGGGCTTTTACAGATATTTATTACACAATGGATACTCATAACAATGCTTTAAGGGAGGTGCTATTATTTTATCCATTTTCAGCTGTGGAATCTAAGGCACAAAGAGATTTAAGTGATTTCCCAAAGGTCACACATATTTGCACCTGAAAATGCTGGCTCCATGGTCTGTGATTTAATATTTATTCCCTAGTTTCCTTCTTTGGGACCACCTCTCCCCTACTCTCAAATTATGGGGTAAGTACACGGGTCCCCCTTTGCAGAAGCAGGTACATGTCTAGGTCTGGCCAATCGTATAACCATCCTTCTGGCTACATGTGACCTGGGGTCCAATGATGTTAGCTCTTCTCACTGGAGCTGCAGCCATGATACTATATACGGCTAACAGTGCTGCAGCCATCAAGCTCCGTGGCAAAAACATCTTCCCAAAACTGAAACCAAGACTGAGCCAAGACATGGAGAAAGATTCCTGAGGACCTCAATTCTGCACCCTGATTCAGTGGTCTGATGCTTTTCAGTTTCAGGGACCAGAATTTCCCTTTTCACATAAACCTGTTAAAGTTGAGTTTTTATCTTAGGCGACAGCAAAAGTCAACAAATATAGGATGGGGCAAAGTAGGTTTACAGTTGCTCATGTGGAAAACAATACAATAATTAATAAATAATAATACAAGAGTAAACTGTTTCATGTACTCACACTGTAAACCTACTTTTGCCTGCCCTGTACAGACAGGGTCGGGGAAACACCATCCTCTTGGCTGCTCCTTGAGCACTCAGCCTCTGTCTGCAAGGATATGCAGAGCCAGGCTGTCCCCCAAACTTCCCTGCTTGTTTTCATATGGATGAGAGGAGGAATTGCACTCAAAAGGCTGAAAAGTATGACCTGAGAGAACATGGCAAACGGTCCTGTCTTCACCTCTGCACACAGGCCGGTAAGGACTGTGCTGGTTCTGTGTTGCTTGGAGTACTCAACCCCAAGTACTAGTTTCCAAGCAAAGTAACTGTGGCATGAGCTCCAGAGTGTTCGTGTTGCTGTGGCAACAGATATGCCCCTGACTTGCAAGGACATGGCAAATGACCATTCATAAAAGGTCAGCAAGAGTCAAACAAATTCAATGACACAAAGTAGTCACCACTCTGAGGGCAGCTATCAAGTCTAAGTGGATAAGAATGGAGCCAGTAATGGACAAAATCCTTGTAGAACATTCCAAGAAGATGAACCAAAACAGGAACAAAATAAGACTAGGGTGACAGCTGCACATAGGGTTCCTGAACATAGTCATTACCAGGCAATTGAAGAGGGTACATGGTGCAAAGTCCTCCTAGGAAAGTTTCAGCTGCATGGAAAAGAACACCTCAAACAGCGACACTTGACTAAGTCCTGTTACCCAGTTTCCCATCTCACGTACTCTGGCAAAGTAAACTCAGAATAGGCTCAGCAGCTGATCATGTCAACAGTGACTCTGGTTCTGCCAACTCTTCCACTCTGCCATGGTCAGCATGTCTCCCTCACTGTCCCAAAAGGGCTGTTACAACCTCAGGCAGGACAAAGAAAGATATGTATTATCAGAAAGGAAAGTCTTTCCTAAAAGCTATTCCCAGGCTTCTGCTCAAGTCCCACTGAGCAGAACTCGGTCACATGCTCACTCACAGGCTACACAGGAGCATGGGAAAGCTAGTTACCAGGCATTTTCAACTTCTAGCATGAAAGAGGGTCTCTGCCAGAAAGAAGAGACTGAGAGTCAGGAGTGGCTGTCGGGTAGACAATCAACATGTACCCCAAACTTCCGACAAACTCATACCAAGAGTTTTGCCATAACCTCATAGTGTCCATTCCAGCATTCACTTAATAGTTTCCTTATATATTTTTTTGGTTTATCCTAAATGCCTTTATTTAGGTAAGAAATTTTACATCCTTACCCTAAATGCAAAAACCACTACTAGATACATTTTTCCAATCCATGTTAAAATAAATTCATAATGAGTAAAACGGAAATTATTTGCCTGTTTTACCAAGAAGCATCCCTTGTCCCACCCACAGTAGTCATACTGGGGGATGCATAGTAACAGGGTAAAATTCATTTCCTCCTAATTCTTGGGCCCTGGTATCAAGAATTCCCTAACAAAGAGCTATAAAGTGCATTCATGGGAAGGTATTATTCTAACAACCTCTTCCTGGTAGTGATAACAATTTAGCCCCTGCCCACCACTCTCCATGTCTCAGCTGTCAAGATGAGAAGACATTTAGGAAACTTATATAATCTCATCAATCAATGTCACCTCAGTAAATTTAACTTAAAAAATTTTTAAAGACATTTAGCAAAATCATAGTAGGAGAACCAGCTGGTTTCCTGCATGATAATTCTCCCTCCTCAAAATGTATTTTCTTTTTTCCATTAAAATGAAAAATGTTTCAGAGGCTACAAGGACCACTGCATGCCTTGGAATGAGACCACCCAAACTTTTTCATTTCTGGATTCTCACTCACATTTACCCAAAAGGATGCACTGATTGTAGACAGAGAGAAGTGACCAGTGTGTGTTACTTACATCAGAGGCTGGACCCTTGTCAGCGCCTGGGCAGGAAAAAGTGACAAATTCATGGCAACGCTTGTGCACAACAAAACAGCAGACTGCAAAAGAGAAAACAAAAGTAGGAGGAAAGGAAGGAGGAAAGGAAGAAGGAAAGTGTAGAGGAGGAGGAGAGAAAAGGGGAGAAAAAGATTGTTAGAACCCGGACTTCACAACAACTAAAGGTTTTATACCAAGATAAACAATGCCTTCAGCTTCTATGTGTGTCCTTAGTTGAAGTCAAACTCTTGGATATACCAATGTTCCATCTTGCAAACTAGTTAAGTTTCTCAAGTAACTAGGGTTCCAAAGATCACATGTACTCAAAACTATACTCCCTCAAAGTTCACTTAAGTTGCCCTGTTTTGGAACAGAATGTTGTTTCTTAGACTGGGCACCCGGTGAAGTAGTTGGCTTGTGTTTAGATTGATAATGCATAAGAAATATGTATACTTAAACACTAGAATCACAGTCTGAGACATGTAGATAAAATGAAGAGCACAGAGAAACAGAATGAACAGGAAAGACAGACCCACGCCCCCACCTTACCCAAGAGCAACGTCCAGTAAGTGGAAAAGTGGAATAAATAAGCTGCAATGTTTACATTGTTACATCAGTAGTTTGCAACCAAATACATTCATACTTATACTGTATTTGAATTTGTTTAAGTTAAGTGTATCTAGACATGGCCATACAACTTGGGGACTGTTTCACTTGGTTAAAGGGACAGTCAGAGAATGTATACCAAATAAAACTGATTTTTTTGTTCAAAATCTTCTTCTACACTTTTGTTGTTCAGATCACCTTAAACAAACTCTAGATTATGGGTTCCTGGAGGACAGTTGACACAGAGCAGGAACAGCATCCTTCTTTTCTTTTCATTTTATTTTTCAATAAGAGTTTAATTCAATATTATTTTGTATTAGTTTCATGTGCACTGATGGTTGCCAGAGAGGAGGGAGATTGGGGGACTAAGTGAAAACAGTGACGGGATTAAGCAGTACAGATTGGCAGACAAAACAGTCACTGGGATGTAAAGTACAGTACAGGGAATGTAGTCAACAATATCGTAATAACTATCTGTGGTGCCAGACACGTACAGGAAATATCAGGGAAACACTTTGTAAAGTATGTGGCTGTCTAACCCCTTTGCTGTGCACCTGAAACAGTATCTTTCTAAAGGTCACAGTAAATGAAAACGGTGCAGGAAACCTCAAAGCAGCCCCTAGTGGTATGATGGGTCTAGACAGCAATCCTCAGTGGCTGTGAACATCACAAAAACACACCACCTGCCTCCTGGAGGCAGTACTGCAAAGGACTCACCACCTACGTAGCACTCTTGCCAAAATAATCAAACCTGAATCAATTCAAGCATTTTAATCCAACTTCCAATCTACAGAAAATACAAGTAACAGAGGCACATATTAAATGACACCATAGTAAGGCAATGAGGGGAAAAATGCATAAGAAAGTGGAAAACTGCAAGATAACCAAATAGTTTCTTCAACAAATAAACTGCAAGAGGATTGGAGAGACTTTTACAGTATATATTTATAAAATGTACAACATAAAGAGTGAACCCTTGATATAAACAAAGGTTTTCAGTTAACAATAATGCATCGATATTGACTGGGATGGGAATGGGGTTAAGAGAGTAATACTGGAACTCTATACTTTCTAATTAAATTTTCTGCAAACCTAAAACTGCTCAAAAAAGAAAACAACAACAAAAATTAAAACAAAAATACTGCAGCTTCCAGTAAGATGGCAGGTAGGTAAATGCAGTACTCACATCCTCTCACGACCACATCAAAATTACAACTACACTACAGAACAACTGTCATTCAGAACTGCCAAAAATCTAGCTGAAGAGAAGTCCTGCAATTAAGGATATAAAGAAGATGTGGCTCAGCTGGTTGGAGTATCATCCCATGCATTAAAAGGCTGCATCTTCATTCCCAGTCAGGGCACATACCATGAGTTCAATCCCTGGTCAGGGTACGTACAAGAGGCAACAGATCAGTGTTTCTCTCTCACATTAGAGAGAGAGAGAGAGAGTCCTTCTTCCCTCACTCCCTCCCTCCCTTTCCCTCTCTCTAAAATCAATAGAAACATATCCTCAAGTGAGAAATAAATAAGTAAATAAATAAATAAATAAACAAATAGGAAAGAAAGAAAGAAACCACATTAAGACTGGTAGGAGGGATAGAGATTCAGAATGAGCTAGTCCTACACCCGTGGTGGACAAAAATCGAGCGGGATATCTTGGCTGCTGCAGAGATCCCCTCTGAGGAGCTAGGGGTCCCAGGCCCAAACCATGCCTTCCAGCCCAGAGTTCCAGTGCAAGGAGGAGAAATCCCCATAACTTCTGGCCACAAAAACAGCGGAGCTGTGACTGAGTGAGACTGAGGTTTCCAGAGTCCCTGGCATTCCTCTTAGAGAGCCCACACACAGACTCAGACTCATTGGCTCTGTACTCCAGTGCTGGGGCAGCAGCTAAAAAGGCACCAGGGACATACAGGGAGGAAATAAATTGTCTGGCATCACGCCAAAAACTACAGGGTCGGCTTCTTCCAGACAGAAATGCTGGCAGAGGCCATCATTCCTTTGACGGGCCCTCCTACCCATGAACTTAGCAGGCAGATACCATATCTGAGATTCCATCAACCTAGCTATCACTGCTCACCTAGCTGTGGTGATTCCCTGAGACGCTATCCCACCCAACTTGTGGGCCCACCCAAACTGTTTCCAGTGGCTTTTAAAGAGGAACTAAAGAGTTAAAGACTTTAGCCTTAGTTATAGTTGGTAGGCTTAAGTGATTAATGCATGTGGAAAGCTGTTATTCCAGGAACTGGAATGTCTGACCTACATAACTCCAGGAGTTTGAAAAGCAATTCAACTTTGTGCCCCAGGGGGCCTACAAGTAATCAAGATGGTATCTGAGCCATTGGCTTCCAAGGAGGGAACCTCCAAGATAGAGATAAAGAATTGTTGATCACCAGATAAAAAATACTAAGAATATCACCCCCTAACTGTAACTCTTACCTAATTAACCCTTTTTCCAAACCCGTCACATCATTTTCTTCTCTTTATAAAAAGGTCAGCTTGAGACGGTTTTTAGGGTACATAACCCGCTGTCTTCTCAGATCACTGGCATCTGAGTAAAGCACTCATAAAGATTCAATCCTTGTCTCCAGTCATTGGTTCTGGTCATGAGAGGCAGAACAAATGCTGACTTCTCTAATTGCAGCTTTTCCACACAAATGGCCTCCCTTGGTTCATGCTTTTAGTCTTGCCTAAAATTTCTCAAACAAACAGCATCTGGCCTCAGTGTGCCCTGTACTTCTCACTAAGTGACCCCAGGCCCATTGCTAGCAGAGAATTCATTTGGTTCAGTTTGGCTTCGCCTGGGCACCTCCAAGCCCAGCACAAGTAGTAACCAATTGCAGATCACTTTTTACCTCATGCCAGTTGGCCCTGGGAAGGGCACAGACAGCAGCTGACCTTGTCCTGCACCTCCCAGGAGGTCCCAGAACCAGCACACCTGGTGGACTACTTCAGACCATCCTGAAGCACCACCCAACTGCCTCACAAGCAATGCATTCAAGGGGTAGACTCAGCAGGTACCAGAGTCCTGCTAAAGTAAGTCCTTCTCCATTGGGTGGGCCCTAAGTCCTTGCAGCCAATTGGCCTGGGGTTAAATCCCTCCCACAGACATGCTTACAGCAATCAAGGCTCAACTACAACAGGAGGTGCACCTGGAATGACAAGCACAGGTGAACAATAAGGCTGTGCCACTGAACCCTACAGGACAGCTACTGGACTAAAGTCACTCTCCCAAGCCCAGGAGACATAGCAGCTCTACCCAATACATAGAAACAAATACAGGAAGGTTGCCAAACGAGGAGACAAAGAAACATGTCCCAAATTAAAGAACAGGACAAAACTCCAGAAAAGAACTAAACAAAATGAAGGCAAACAATCTACTAGATGCAGAGTTCAAAATACTGGTAGTAAGGATGTTCAATGAACTTAGGGGAAGAATAGATGAACTTAGTGAGAACTTCAACAAAGACATAGGAACTATAAAAACTGAACGAGAAAACATAAAAAAAGAACTACTCAGAAATGAACAAAACAGTAGCTAAAATGAATGTTACAGGTAATCAACACTGGAATAAGTGAAGCAGAGAATGCAATCAGAGATTTGGAAGATAAGGAAGCAGAAAATAACCAATCAGGACAGCACAAAGAAAAAAGAATCCAAAAAAAAAATGAGGATAGTATAAGGAGACTCTGGGACAACTTCAAGCATAACAGCATTTGCATCATGGGGGTGCCAGAAGGAAAAGAGAAAGAAATTAAAAACCTATGTAAAAAAATATTGATGGAAAACTTCCCTAACCTGGTGAAGGAGACATACAGGTTCAGGAAGTGCAGAGAATCCCAAACAATATGAGCCCAAAGAGGTCCACACCAAGACACATCAATTAAAATGCCAAAGGTTAAAGAAAAAGAGAGAACCTTAAAAGCAGCTATTTCTCAACAGAAACTCTGCAGGTCAGAAGGGGCTTGCTGGCGAAATATTCAAAGTGATGAAATGCAAGGACCTACAGCCCTGGCTGATGGCCTGGTTGGTTGAAGCATCATCCCGTATACCAAACGGCTTGTGGGTTCAATTCCCAGTCAGGACACATTCCTAGGGTGCAAGTTCAATCCCTGGTCAGGGCACATACAAGAGGCAACAGATCAATGATTCTCTCTCACATCAATGTCTGTCTCTCTCTCTCTCTCCCCCGACCGTTCCTCAGGGTCTCCCTGCCTTCCTCTCTCTCTCTAAAATCAATGAACATATCCTCAGGTGAGGATTAAAAATAAAAAATAAAAGAGAAGAAAAGCAAGCACCTAAAACCAAGATCACTCTACTCAGCAAAGAGATCATGTAGAATTGAAGACATATAAAGAGCTTCCCAGACAAGAAAAAGCTAAAAGAGTTCATCACCATCAAACCAGTATTACATGAAACATTAAAGGGTCTCCTTTAAGAAGAATAAGAAAAAAA